TGCCCTCCTCGGGTGGCCTGGCACTGGGCCGGGCCCTCCCAGCTCGGCTCCGGTTGGGTTGGGGTGGGTTGGGCTAGGTTGGTTGGACTGGGTTGGGTTAGGTTGGGTTGGGTTCAGATAGGTTCAGCTGGGCTGGGTTGGGTCTGGTCTGGTTCAGTTGGATTGGGTTGGTTGGGTTGGGTTGGGTTGGGTCTGGTCTGGTTCAGTTGGGTTGGGTTGGGTTGGGTCTGGTCTGGTTCAGTTGGATTGGGTTGGGTTGAGCTGGGCTGAGTTGGGTCCAGCTGGGCTGGGTTGGTTGGACTGGGTTGAGCTGGGATCAGCTGGGCTGGGTTGGGTTTCGTTTGGTTCAGTTTGTTGGTTTTTTTAAAGAAGGGACCGGCAGCATTCACTGCCTCGGCCATGACTCCACCCCGACAAGCCTGTCGTGCCCAGTCTCAGCACACGCAGGAGCTTTGTCCTTGGTTTCAGGGACGCCATTACCAGCCTCGCTGCACACGTATCAGCTTAACCGAGAGCTAAATGCAACCCACCTGCTTGGCCGCCTCTCCTTTCCTCTCTACAGATCAACTCCCAGAGACCTTCGGGAGGTGCCCCACGCTGTGACTGGTTACCTGAGACCAATAAAGGCCGCAGTAAGTAACGTGATACACAACCTGCGCCGCTGTCTGTTGTGTGCCATTGTTCTCAAGGGGATACAGTATCAGCCGTATTAATAGTTAATTTAAAATCATGCAACTGGAGCTGCAACTCTTGTGGAAAGTTTCGTGCAGGCCAGGCTGTGCATTATGTATGGGAGCAGCAGCCCGGCTGCACGGCCAGCATTGCCAAAAGGAGCCCTGGAGAGGCGAGAGGGAAGCAAGTCAGGCCGCGGTCAGCTCTGCGGTGTTCAGTCAAGGAGGATCAGCTTTTAACAGCCACATACGCATGTAAGGTACAGCGTGACAAGCAGGGTTCATGGTAAGTTTAAGTGGAACCTGTCTCCATTACCTCAACTATCTCCTCCACTTTTCAAGGATTATTTTTTTTTCCCAACAAATCCTGCCCAGCTGCCACTCGTGTTCCCCCATGAGTTAGCATGAATGGCGCAGAGAGGGTCCCTTGAGGAAGCGCCAGTGCTACCACTGGCCATCCCTCCTGGCAGAACCGCTGAGCAGAGGGACTGAGGTCTCTGTTCTGCAGCTTCTTAGAGCCTCATCAGCTTTGGTGGGTCCAGCTCGCTGTGGCCCGGACCACAATTCCTCAGCAGAAGGCTATGGCGCAGCTTCAAGTTATTATCCCCATTTACCATCTCAGCAACACTGCCGCGCGCGGCCAGGGAAACAGAGACGCAAATGTGTCAGTGTAGTTACTGCAGAGCTCCCAGCTCTGTGTAAGCCCCTGAGCTCCACCATGCTCAGCGTCAACAGTCCTCGAGCTGCCCAGGAGCAGGGTCAGAAGCCAAAGGGTTTCAGTGCATGAAACCACTTAGTCTATCAAATCCCCGTTTCCCCTGAGACCAGCGGCACATCTTAAGCTGTATCTCCGCTCAAGGAGCTCTGCATCTCCTGATTTAGACCCTAAACTACAAGTCCCAGGGGGTGCAAATTAAGTCCCAGAGGGTGCAAATCCTTCCCTGCCTCACAGTTTTACTGCCCATGAGTTGTCCCGACCCGACGGCATTTATCCAGGCAAAACGGGGGAGAGGGAGCAGAGCATGGCATCCACGTCTCCCGACTTATTGGAGTAACAATGTCCATGTGCTTTACGCCATGCCGGTGCAGAACACAAGTTATTTCGTTCCAGAACAGAGACGAGACCTGCCACACGTAGTGATTTGCTCGTGGTGATAAGCCAAACCTGTGGCAGAGCCAATGCTGTGCTCCACCACCTTATTTCCATCAAACCTCGGGCTTAAAACACTACAGTGATTGCGTGGGACGGGCTGTATTTTCCACCTCATACTGTGCCAGCCTTTTCCCACCTCCGAATCTCATTTTTCTTGGCCGGGTGAGGACTCGTATGGAGAATACGCGGCTGTGCGTCAGGGCCGAGAGCTTTTCATAGAAAGAGCAATTAAGGAGTTAAATACCGTCCTTCTCCTTTTCCTCGATTTTAAAACCACCAAAGATTATCCGCTCCTGCTTTGGCGAGGGAAGGGAAATACAATAAACTGCCTGCATTTTGCACGGGGAGGGGAAGGCCGGCCGGGGCTGCGCTGAGCTGCCCCCGCCCCGCCGTTCCCCCC